CACACACACACACACACACACATACACACACGCAGAGGCTATTTATAGCGAAGGAAGGCTGCTCGCTGCTCGCTGCTCTCCAAGGGGAGAATTACAAACAGACACAGAGGCCTGAAGCTGACATCCTGCCCACCAGCTGTGTCAACTTAAAGTCAGAAAACACTGCAGCAGAATACAGCCTCATTGTGGAGACACATGCACACACTGGCATGTCACACTGGATGAAGCAAACACACACAGTGAGAGCGAAAATCAAGATTACAGTCAGATCATTTGCACGGGGGCAGGTTTATGTCTCCGAGGCAGATATCGCTAAATCTTAAAGTAGCTGCACAGTTAAATGCCACGAGGAGAGAGTGAGTTTTAGTAATTTAGATGAAGTGATCCTTCAGACGAGGCCTCCAGTGATGTGTGTGTTGTACTTTACATAAAGTCTGGGACACAGTGGAGGCAGATTTAAAAGAAACAAACAGAGTCAAAGCAGCAGACACTGAGGTTTCCTGGATTTTAGCCTTGAGCGCTCCAAAAATACTTTCTCCTACACTTCCCATGATGCAGCTCGATATCATATTTGATCCTTTTTGTCTAATAAAGACTGTGCATCCATATGCTCCAAAACAATGAGCAAAAACCAGATCACGCATAAAGATTATTTAAAACAATTAACACGTTAATCATAAGAATTATAAATAAAGTGATGACGTCAGCAACTCAAGTACCAAAACTTTCACCGACTTTCTGACTTCCAACTTTTGCATGAATTTTCCTGGTCGGGAACTAATTCTTTCAACTATCTCGACATTGCAATATTATTATTCTTCGGACGATGTTAGAGTCACGCGTTAACGGCATTAAGAATCCAACAAACGTCTTCATCATCAGGGGACGGGGAATTATTCTGAAACAGCTGTTAATCCCCTGTTTCCCTTTCCATAGGTACGAACGTCTGAAGACACATTCCTGCGATGGATTAAGGTGAAATACCCCGATGCTGACTTCCCTATAAGGACTTAGTTGCATGACTGAAACACGGGCGGATGAAGTCATCTCCTCATTCAGACCTGTAGGGAGGTGAAGACGTGAGCTCGGGGGATTCTCCTCAGCAGGTTTTCATTTACACAGACATGTTTTTCTGCAGAGACACAGGGACGGAGTGTTGTTCAGGTTCATCATCAAAATATACGACATCGACCTGTTGCTCGGACGGATAATCCCACCAGAAGTAGGAAGGACTGAGAAGCTTAATGAACATCTCATGACTGAATCACACACACACTCACACACTCACGTGCACTGTGCTGTGCACGTTAAGCTGAGGAATTGAGTCATTACACAGCAGCATGAGCTGAACTCATATTGACACCACAGACTTAATAAACACTCACTTTATTAGGAACACATGTGTCCGTACAGTTATCCAATCAGCCAATCATGTGACAGCAGCGCAATGCATTTAAACATGCAGATCAAGGTCCAATAATTAAACGTCTGCAGAGACACTTTAACACTCGCTGCAGACGTCAGAAAACTTTTTTTCAGAGCAGCAGGGTCGACTTTGCTCCAGTTGGATGTTCTATTTTCTATTTTGTCCCTCCTTGGCCTCCATAGTTCCTTTCCTTGTCTTCATCTCCTTCCTGTTGCCAAGTAGGCCAGAAGTGATCTATAAATAGTCGCCGCGCTCGCCTCGGCGCTCCGCTGCTCTCTTCGGCTAAATTGTGAGACAGGGAGCGAGTCCTGTGCCAGAGAGGAATGAGTAACCTGAGCACCATGTACCTTACACCCACATTCTGCCTGGCCACCGACAGAGTGACACACACACATGATAAACAGTGCACTCACTCACACACACACACTCTCACACACACACACTATAAACAGTGCACTCACACACACACACACATGCCTACACAATGGACAAAGGCACAGACAGTCCAAATGAGTCCAGCAGCTGTGGTTGGTGGATAAGAGCGGAGCAGGAGTCCCCTGAACGACTAAATGAAGAGAGCAGAACAAACCTTTAATGATACCAGGACAAAAAGCTGCTTATTCACAAATCTGCTTCACACACACCCAACCCTCCCTGAGTTTAATAGAAAACAGTAATGGTTCAGCCTCTCTCTATTTCTCACCTAAAGCTCCAGGGTACTGTGTCCTAAACCAATTAGCTGCTCCTCCTGGGCCTCACTGAGGTTTCTGTCCAATTAATCAGATAAAAACGCTCGACTTTCCATCTCCTCCTCTAGTTAGCTTAATTGTTTTGTAACTGCTTCAATGCAAAGAGCAAAGGTTAAAGATTCTTAAAATATCAGCCCTCACAGAGAGGAACGGGGGCTAAATGAATGTTGTCCTAAATGTTGAGGTTGTGAATCAACATACTTCAGATTAACTGATTCAATGACGACTTGATGGGAGAATGAAATCGTCTTCTTCTCTGATACCTCGTGGATTATTTTGTCTAAAACATAAAAAAAACTGTGAACATTTCCAAACGAGTCCAAGAGTCCAGGTGCCATCTATGAAAGTCAGATTTTGTTCAGCGAGTAGTTTGAAATCCAAAACTTCTTCTTCTTTATGCTCAATCGGGAACTTTTTCATCCTCTGTGGTTTCTATAACATGTAATCAATGAGCTTTACATGTGCTGAGCTACTAAGTTGTTTGCTGAAACCATATATTGAACTAGTAGAGCACAAGGCCCAACAGTCCCCCTTGTGAAACCTTGTGAAAGTCACTAGGATTATTTTTCAGTTCTCATTTTTTCATCAAGATCAGTGAATTCTTCTCTGAGAAATCAACTAAAATAATGACAAACTTCCTCGTTGGCAGAGGAAACAAAAAGATAAGAAAACGGTGTCAATCCTTCCATCCTATCTCAGAGAAAAGAAAGGTAACATACAACTGAAACAGCGAATCAGTTAAGTATGAAACAAAGTGACTGTGGCTGGATTGTTCAAAGATGCTAACTGGCAGCGGAGTCACCAGAAGGTGACCGGGGCGGATGGTGGGCGTACAAAGCTCAGATTGTCACATCAGTGACCAGGGGTCGCATCCAGAGTCTCGCCTGTGGTTAGATTCCGCCAAGAAAAGCACTTTTGTTAAGGTCAGAGAGAGACTGTGGTTTCGGTTTTTGCTTTTTCTGTATTAAACCAAACCACGAGCTTTCCCTCGCCTTCATCTGGAGCTGCGAGAGTCTAAACATAAAACTGTTTGATAATGCTGTCGTCATACGAGTGGATATTTTACTGCAAGATCACTCTGTTCCAAACTTTTAGCCGCTTGCCAAACACACAAATTGACAACATGTTTTTGATTTGTTTGTAGAAGGACGGCCGGCCTTTTCTGGAGCTTCACTCTGTTTCTACATGTTCTACTGTGCTACTGCTGGAACTAGAGGGACCTTGTGTGTGCAGGCTGAGGCCACTCTCCCCTGTGCACATGTGTGTCAGTGCACTTCCTGCACACATCCACGTGCACACATGCATAAAAGAAAGATATCTCAGCTTTCCATAGCTCCAGATGATCTCCTGAAATCATGCAGAGACGGGCTGTATGTGACAACGCAAATATCCGAGTCAGTTACGAACATTCTCCTGAGTTGTTCCTGCAGCTCCCTGGTAAAAACTCCGGAGAATCTCCCGGTGAGTGCATGAGAGAATACGGCAGGACTCCGAACAAAAAGAATCCAAATATCTCAGGATAAAGAAGAGGAGCCGTACACGTAGAAGACGAAGACGTCAACTTGGAAAAGACGAGGAGATTCCAGAGCATTCGGTGATAAGGCCCGACTGATCTTTCCACAACAGAATTTATACGTCATGTCCCGCCTCCTGCTGCTCTACAGGCTCCACCCCTCAATGTTCCCGTAATGTTCCTGTTGTTGTGAACGAGTCGGACGTCTCTGCTGCTGCTGCTTCACAGGACAAACACTAACTACAGACAAGGTCCAAACCCAGTTGTGTGGACATTCTCCAGAGTTCATGTCTGAAAACAGCTCAACCCTGTTTGAGAATTTCAACTCATGACCGATTAGACAAAACTGCTGCGACGGCAAGTCTCCATCGGCTGCTAACAGCAACCCACTGTCTCTGGGATCATCCGCTCAGTCTTACCTCTATTACCGACTTGTTTGTCGTTCCCTGAGTAAGACTGGATTCGCATGTGGAGCCTCGAACAATCAACGTTTTTCACAGAGCAGAGCTGAGTCTCCACATTTCTCTCCAGCACTCTCCTGTAGCTGTCCTCTCTGCTGGATGTAATTGTACCTCTGTACCCTTCCTCCTCCAACTCCCACCACATGCTAAAAATTACACCATGTTGATGGGAAAATTACAATGCAGTAGTTGGGAAGGGGGTAATTCCCTTGTCTGCGATCTCCTTTGTGCGACTGGTCCACATGCACATGGGTATAGATGTGTCGAGTGGGAACAGGGCTTGTTAATTGATGTTGTTCAGGCCAGTAATTTACGCACAATTACCTCAGTTAGATTCAGCTACAGCATCGGACACACAACGACTCGACTTCACATTGTTTCAGAGTGGGAGGGAAATAAAACTGTAAGACATTTAAAAATAGGGATTCCCTCATTTAAAGCATTGTGTTCTTTACAACTTCTCATCATCGCGTCAATGTGTAACGTTTAAATGTGAAGTGGCAAATTTCCTGTTTATACTTGGTGCGATCTTTCAAAGGAAGAATGAGAAAAAGAAGCGTTGGCTTTCTCCACAGGAAGTACGAGACATTTGTGTGGGCAAAACACTGTGAGCAAGTGTTTCTGCCTCTTGTGCTTATTAGAGTCATGTGGAAACATTACCACAGAATTAAATCAGCTAAAATCTGCAAGTATAGAACGACCAAAAGATTAAATCCACAGCCGAGTATTAAAACAAAATGTCTCACTCCTCATAAATTTAAGTCACAGGCATCAATCAATAATCCCTATACAATGAATTCGCCATTTTTTTTACCTAAAATTATTAATTCTGTCATAGAAACATTTAAAAAGTATTTTGGGATTTTCAACCTGTTGATGTAGTTGTTGTTTTCACGTCAGGATCCTGAGATAATGATGTTAATAGAGAAAATGGGAGAATGTGTCTGAAAGAGTTTTTTTCCATTAGCTGATGAGCTCACTCCTCTTTAGAGAGCTCCCTGTGAGTGAGTGGGGATTAATGAATGAACGATTTTGTATCTTCCAGTGCAGGGGGGGAGAAGGACGACGGATGAATCTACTCTACAGCGTTTCATCTCACACTTCATCTATCTGATCGGGATAGTTTCCGATTTACAGCAGCAGCAGCAGCAGCAGCCTCCAGGACGGGGCCATTAGCTCTGCTTCCAGTCACACAGCTACAGTGTTCGTCACAAGTTTACAAGCTGCATCTCTTCACCTACAACAGCACAGCCTGAGAAAACAGAGCTCTGTGAGCTGAGAGAACAGACGAGCAGAGGAGGTGAAAAGACTGTTATTCAAGCACATGTATTTATAGCCGGATTCTGACTCTCCCAGATATTCTTATGTTGAACGTAATTAACTAGTTCAATGGAAAAAAAGACCTTGAAAACACTAGAAGTTACTTCATGTGAAAGAAAGAGTGAAACGATAGCGCGCGATGTTCGTATGATGGACTAATACCAGAGGGAGATCTCCGAACATCAGCGATTAATGACACTCGATGTTTCATCTCTGCATCAGCCGCTCAATCAGCAAAACCAACAACAACCAACGTATTGATTTGCAATGATGGGTTCATAAGAGGCAATCAACAGAAGTGCACATCTGAAAAGTTAGCTACAAATGGCAGTAATGATTTCAGATGCATCATGAACTGCACCTGCCCAGAGACATGAGTCTGTCGGGAGTCAAAACTGAGTATCAGTGTTAATGGAGAACAAAAGCAACATCTTCTATATAAGATATTTCAACTGTTGTACAAGATAGAAAACCAGCTTCCTGTTTGATTTCATTTATTGATTATTTCTTCAGAACAAAAATGCTTTTTAAAGCTTCCCCGCTGTGTTAAATTTGATGTTTATTACATTTCTGGCTATAACTTTGCTTTTCCTTCTCTCCCTTGTCTGCTTTGATTTACTGAGACATCTTGAGTTGTTCTTCTTCCCAGAACTGAAACAAAGAGCTGGTAAATGTCTGAGGAGATAAACTGACAGATGAGACTGACTGTGCAGCGCATGTGTCCCTGCAACCAAACCAGCCAGTCTCACGGGCAGCGTGCACTCTGCACCGCCATGGAGTCGCTCAACGAGGTGGGGGGGGGGGTGATGTGGTTGTCTGTGGCAACCGAGGAACCAGAGAGTGAGAGAGAGTGAGAAAGAGAGAGAGAGAGGGAGAGAGAGAGGGAGAGGGAGGGAGGGAGAGGTGGACATACACAATGTGATGGGCCAGTGTACACATGCATGTGCACACACACACTCACACATGTACATGCACACACAGTCCAGAGCTAAGCAAACAACTCGGTGGAACAACACTCGGCGAGTCAGTGCCTGCATGATCCATTAGTAACTCCCGCAGAATAAAAACCCACTGACCCACACGACAACAACTCCGAGACCTTTGCTAGCTCAGTGTCAACATGCTAAGAACACTGGTTCAGTTCCAGCAGGGGTGCTTCACACCGCCGTCACAGCAGGGCACAGTCCTGCCTGACGTAGAAAGCTCAGGTCGGTCTGGGCCGTCTTCCAGCCGAGGTGATTGATATCCCTTCAGCGTATGATGCAGTCAGAGTTTATATCATGACTCAACACGACTTTCATCCACTTTTAAAACTCCTGCTGCCTTAACTCCACAAGCGACAGGTGAGTCAAGAGTCACCTCGTGCATCATGGAAAAATCCTCTGGCCTCAGCTGGATCTGTGTTTACACTTATTGTCTATATCACATCACCTGTTAGACTGGTCTATGATCGACTGTACTGGGAATAACACTGTAAAACAGACATAATATCAAGTCAAGCCACGGACCCAAACACGAGAGTCTTACATGTGCTTTAGTTTGACAGAATGAGTGATTTAAAAAGTCTACATCCTGCTCTAGAACCCTCTGGTGCAGAAAACAGTGTTAATAAACATGAGCAACTGATTGCAGCGCTGCAACATGGCACGATACCAACAGGTGGGAATATTTGCATTAGAAAGGTTTGACCGGACATTAATCCGCCCCAGGTCTCACGTAAATATACCCTAATGCTGAATAATGCAGGTGGAGTGGAGCAGTCAATAATTAAGTGCACCCATTGGTGTGAGAGCATGGCACTCGTTTACAGTGGATCAGACAAGTGGGCCAAGAAAGCTAAGGTGTCGGAGGAGGGAATCAGCACAGCATCTTCTTACTGAGCCCGCATGCAATTTAAATGTATTATTTAAGCTGATATTTATACTTTATATCCTGCAGTGTCAAACTAAATTATACAAAGAGTCAGAAAACAAATATTAACGCAATTGCTTTGGTTTGTTGTGAGGAAGTGTCGCGAGAAAGAGTGAATGAAAAAGAGATAAATAAAAAAATCTGTTTAAACCCACCGCATCGCATGAAAGTAGTTTTACACTTACTTTAAACTTTAGAGTCTTCTCGATATTTGTGTATTTCCTCTTTATAATCTTTAGGATGATGCTTTTCATAGTGTCTGCACAATGACACACAGATTCTCGAGTCTCATAATGATAGAAAGTGATTATCAGAACAGAGGCACATTACTTTTCTGTTAATCACTTTATTGACTCATGTTCATGCAACTTTCAAACCAACGTGTATAAAAACAACAAGTTTTTCTTTTTTCTCTTTTACACATGTGCAGCAAAAAGTTTGTTTTCATGACTTTCCAGGAAGTTTTCTTTTTAAAAGTTGTGTTTTAATGATTATGATGAAGTAAAGCCCAACAGTGTGCAGCAGCCTCATTCATTGTGTTTTGATTGACCCAGTGAATCAGTGCCTTGCTCAGGGACACAACCCAGCAGGGGAGCGTGTGTCCCCCCCCCCCCATCAACACAACCAGAGTAGAAGCTCCAGAGGAGTCTTACCTTGCTCCGGATCTGTCCGGAGGTGGACACTTTCCGGATCAGTTTCTGGGGCCCTTCCTGCTCCGCCTCGCTGTCAGAGGACTCGTCCGCGGCCCCGGCGACAGCGCCCACCACATGGGCATGGATCCCCGCCGCGGACGCCGGCCCTTTCTCCGGCTCCTGTCGTGGGGAGGCACAAAACCAGTCGGGGTTAGTCGCCTTGTTGGCCCGCTCCGCCGCTCCCTTCCTCTCCGGGAGGCGAGAGCCGCTCAGCGGCCGAGAGCCGTCTCTCCTCGCCGTCATCTCTCCGCGTCTCTGTCGGTGTTTGCCGGGGGAGCGTGTGTGGGCTGGAGCATGTCACGGTGGGGATGGGCTCCACGGAGAAGACTGTAAACTCCCCCCCTCCCTCCCTCCCTGAGCACGCAGCGGCCCCTCCGCCGGGCTGATGGTGGAGGCTCCAGCCCACACGACGCGACCAGTCCCGGAGAGACCGCCTCATCCAGCGCGCAGCCCGGAGGACGCGACCGTGCCAGGGCAGACCCTGGCGGCTGTTTATTCCCCAGCACCACCGAGCAGCTGCTCCACACGTCTTCACATTCAAACTACACACTGACATTGCTCTCACGTTATTCTGAGCTCCAAACACACATTAATTCATAAAAGACTCAGTGAAGTTACCGTGCATTTGACTATATGATGTTTTAACCCACACCCTTCATCTTAAACACGTGCATTAACTTCGAACAGCAGTTTTTTAAAAATCTTTATTTAACATTATTACATCCCAGGATAAGTCCTGGTGGAGACATAAAGACTAGAATTAATGCCAGAGTTAAATAAATACAATAATGTCGAAACAAGAGAAGAGCAGAATAAAAACTCTTCCATCTGAGATTAAATAAAAAGAAGTGAACTATCCTCCTGAGCTGCTGTGTGTTTCACTGGATGATGAAGTGACATCAGGACAAAGACAGAATCAAACCATCGGAAACAACAGCTCCCTGTGTTTCCTCTTGAATCACAAAAAAGTCTGCGGGCTTTCCTCACCAGCTCCTCCCAGGCAGGGCTGCGGGTGAAGTGGTACACATCCTCCATGGTCCCGGACCTCCGCTCTGTGCGCTGCGCAGGAGACGAGCACCGGAATCGGGGGAAGGTGGAGGAATGCGCCGCCTGCCTCGTCTCTGTGTCTCATACGGACTCGATCCTCCCTCCACCAACACCGAGCTCCACCGCCACACCTCCGCCGCTCCACTGCTCCGCTTCTGCCTCCTACTCCTCCTCCTTCTCCTCCTCCTCCCTCCGAGAGCCTCCGAGGGGCCGAGCCGAGCCTCCTGTTATTTCATTTGTTATTCACATATATCATTTAGTCAGTGAATCTGGATATTTGGCTTTTTAATATTATTATTTATTCACTCATTATTAATATTATTCTATAGTCGAGTTGTTTTCTGTAAAGCAACATTTTTGAATCTGACATTGAGAGTATAAAGCAAATATTATTTTCTATTCTTCTCCTTTCTATTATATTCTATTATATCACATTCTGTTTTATTCTGCTCTTCTCTATTCTGAGCCAGTTTGGGGCTTCGTTGTCTGACGTGGTGTGATTCAAAAGGAAAATAATAATAATAATAATAATAATAATAATAATAATAATAGTAATCATGATAATAGTTTTGTGTTTTGGATTAGAGTCGTTTTTATATCATGGATGTTTTGAGAGCAGGAGGCGGACAGAAATTTATCTGATAACATTAACCAATTAACGTGGTTTATTACTTATATATAATATACTATATATATATATATATAGAGAGAGAGAGAGAGAGAGAGAGAGAGAGAATAGAAACATGAAACTATGGAGCTCAACATCTTCCTTATCCGATGGGAAATTGTTGTAGTGTCACTATTTACTGCTGTATATCATTATAACACATATGTTGTTCTGCTCATTAACCTCAGTGACGTGTCCATTTTATTTCTTAAACTTATTTTAGAGCAGAAAGTCTCAATAGTGAGTCGGAACACTCGAGACTCTTGTCAACAAACCACTACGGAAGACTTAAGCGCCGGACCGCTCTGTCCCTCTTGTGTTTTCTTCCGGTTTTCTCTTTCAACTGCATTTCTCACACGACAATCACGTTCAACCAAGACTGAGCGACGGTGCCTCCTGCGTGTGAGTGTAGAGTTTGTGTTTTTGACTCGAGATGGACAATAAAGCTGAGATCACAGACCCAAAGCCACTTTCAAGTCAGCAGTGTGGGGACACTTTTTGTTAAACCTCAAACTGTGGCTGTGGAGAGAATCATCCTGAATATTGTCTGTGAGTCATTTATTGTTTACCTCTTCTTTCTGCAGGAGAGACAGTAAAGGCTCATAAACACCTCCAGAACTTGTTCCTGTCAGACACAGCAGGTGATTTTATTTGTCTTTTAAGCGTTTTAAACTAAACATACGTCTGCCTGAAATGAAAGGAAGGCGATGGTGACAGGTAAAATAAAGCTTACTCACACTTTGTTGGGTTTTGGTTTGCTAGTTTCAGACTCCCTACCTCAGACAGTGGCTCAGCGCCTGCGATGGATCATGCAGAAAGACCTTTAGGGACCAGATGTGTTTCTCATGGGTCCCCCAGGACCCCTGAGATGATCCATAGCCATGCAATACCTCGTGAGTACACACGAAAGACACAGACTCACACACTCTGCACACACTTTGCTCTGTCCAGAGACACCACAGAGACGGACCTAAAAGAGGAGAGAGGTCTGCTCTTCTACAGAGAGCAGGTAAACCCCGTCAGTGTAAAATCTGTGGAGGTGACTCCGTGAGCAAACTGGACGTCAGCAGAAATATATACATGTGCAATCACAGATAATATTTACATGTGCAAACATACATTTACCAATAAGAACCAGCAGAAGGATAAAAATACAATGTGTGATGAACATGAAGAGGGAGGAAAAGATTCTGAGGACGATGATGATGCTCATCCCTGCTCTCAGATTGTGTTTCCTGTAAAAGTGGTACATTTTCAGATGTTTCCGTGTATTCCTGTGTCTGTGCCATTGATATGGGTGAGGGTGGGGGTGGGGATGGACTTCCTGTATTCAGTGATGAGCTCTTCTGTCTTCTTGGTGCTCGTAGTGAGGTTGTTAGTACAGCACCAAGACTCACGGTGCTGCTGCTCAGAAAGTCTCGAGTCCAGTCGCAAAGGCTGATGTTAAATTGCTCTTAAGTTGTTATCCTTCTCTGGGGTTAACTTGTGACCTCTCTAGGCGGCCTCAGATGTCCTCTCTGTTATCGGTCACTCCAGGATTTGGATTTGTCTTACAAAAAATTGGAGTCATATAAAAATATTAGTTTCATTACAGCTCAAACTGAGACGGCTGTGTTTCTAAATTTACATTTGTCAATGGCTTTACGTAGGCTCGTACTAAAATGATTTCAATTTCCATCGTCCAAATTTTGATCCATGATAGTTTCACTGTGAATAACTGATATGAGCAATGCAGAATCAGAAAATCTTTCTATAATCTATTCTATTTCCCCACGACTGGGATGTCCGACTCTTCCACTAAAGGTAAAAGATAACAGATAGTCCTTTTTATATTCTCTCCTTCTTTCAGTTGCGGTAACACGTTACGTAACATCACAACGGTAGAACACTCGCTTTCTCGTTCCATTCTGTTCCCTTCCGTGCCACGTTTTGATCGATCAAGCTTTATGCAAACCTACGCCCCCACACTCAGCTGACTTTGGAAGTCAAGTAACCATGGAGAACTGCTCCTCATTACCCAGCCTGGTTTCTGTGAGGAGAACTTTCTGTTCTCCATTCATTTCCATTTATTTCTCAGGTGTTTGGAAAAAATGATTACGACGAAAGAACAAAACATAAATCCACATAAGACTATTTAAACCTTTCACTGGGCTTCCAGGAGCGAGTAGTGACAAATGATGATATGCTGTGATAATTAACACTTGCTCAGTCATGTCATTATCTACAGCTAATTAGCTCCTGGCTTCATTTGAGTTAAAAAAAAAAAATACACCAGTTGCATAACAGTTCAAACATCAACTCCATGGAAACGGGGAAGTTTTTCTTTTTTTATCCTCAGAACATTTATTCTGAGACTTAACACGTGAACCTGACTTTCTGAAGCAGAAACACTCACATGTTAATTAGTTTGATTGAACCAGAGCTCAGTTACAGCAGAGTTCTTCAGTGGGGATAGTGTGGAAGGTGATGTTGTATGAATATGTGAATGTACATGTAGATACGTCACCTACCCTGCCCACTGAAAACATGTGTCTGCCCATCAGCCGTTACTTCTCTGAGTAGTTTTATCATTTAAAAGAAATAAGTAGGTCTATTTCAGTGCGTTACACAATAAAAACTGAAAACTTGAAATCGCTCACTTTAATATGATCGTTCAATAAACTGAAAAGGAAAAATAAACTGAAAAGGGGAAACTTTGGTCACCACATAAATTACACCTGTCTTTATTGGACAGTTACAGCACAGAGCTGTTCCATTGATGTGATCTAATAATCGAGCTCTGTCCTGAAAACTGGTTATTCCACCTGAGACCAAACGTTATTTCACTGTAATTAGTGAGCAGCGATAACACACATCCACCATCAGCTGCCACGTACGGTACAGAATTTGTGCCTTGATGTTTTGATTGGCCAATACTGAACCTTAGATTTTGTTTTTCTAGAAGATAAAGATATTATTCATGGTCTTCAAGTCTGTGGAGCTGCCTCAAAATAAACTGACGACACAGTCAAGCTTCTACCGAGACGCATCATCGGTTTCCTGAAACGAGGAACGCCAGCCAACCCCTCGAAGTCAACGAGGCCCAGCCGCCTCCCAACCGCTCATCAAACTGAAAAAAAACAGGTGTCGTCTGTTTCCATGGCAACAGCTCATGAATGGATACGACATTATCAATTGCACTGATAGGTGTGAAGAAATGCGGGTTCCTGGTGTTCTTCAAATCCTCGTGGAACATTGTGTCATCGAATGAAAGGTGGGCAGAGTGTGCGTGTGTGTGTGTGTGTGTGTGTGTGTGTGTGTGTGTGTTCGTTGGCTCACTAGATGGAGTTGAAATTTGTGCCGTGGGTGCAATTAGTTGAGTACATGAACGCATCACCGTCTCCGACACCTATTCTGTGTGAAGAACTGAAAACGTGTGAAAATAAGGAAGATTTCCTCTCGAAGAATATTTTCATATTACAGGAGGTGTTGTGTGTGTGTGTGTGTGTGTGTGCGTGTTTGTGTGTGTGTGTGTGTGTGTGTGTGTGTGTGTGNTGTGTGTGTGTGTGTGTGTGTGTGTGTGTGTGTGCGTGTTTGTGTGTGTGTGTGTGTTTGTAGGTGTGTTTTAACTAGAACATCCAAGTATTCCTCAGGGCCCTGCGCTGATTTGGAGCCCTATATTCAGACTTTTTTCGTTCCTCCGCTCCCTCTTTAGTTCTCCCCCCCCCTCCCTCCCTTCAGTCCAAGCACCACCACCGCCCCCCCTGCATGAAGGATGCAGTCACATGGATGTAATCGCATGCATTACAGTCGTATTTCTGACATCGCCAGTAGTCACCTCTCTCCAGTTAGCAGGCTCTTATGTAATACAGCTTACCTCTAACCCACGCTGCTCATAAGTCTATTTTACAGTAATAAAACACGTGCCACCTCCACTCCAGCTGAGTGTAAACCAATACCTTGCCTCTGCAACGAGTTGGTTTTATGACGACGGCACCAGTGGCGGCCTGAGGCACATTGTTTTCGTGTTGTAAGTCTCATGAACACTTTATCTCAGGAACCCTTTCTAGGAAATGCCTCTAGATCTGGTACAACCATCTACCTGTGCTCCAAGATCAAAGTCACTGACAAAGACGTTTAATACCTTGATAATAAAAGTTTTTTTTCTGGCCATTGTAAAATTGGTGGAGGAGAAGTACAACTGCGAGATGGTATTTCTAGTTTAAAGTAAATTACCAGATTCACTAATAACCTAAATTAAAATAAATGTCAGAAGCTGCATTTTAAAATAACTGTAGGAACTGGAGTGGAGAGAAATGGAGAATGAAAGAATGTCACTTCACACAAAACTGCAAATGTATTGAGAAGGAAGAATTTGTTTTAATAATAGAGACCAATCGTACGGATCACACAAACTGAACACAACTTTTATCAAGCGGGTGCAGTTGCATTTTGACTGGTGCACAAAACGCATGCGACAATAAAATGTTTATATTATGAATTATATGGAACAAAGTCCTTCATATATCTTCTATCCGCCCGCTGCTCTCTA